TCTCCCCCCCTCCTTAAACGGAGGGGGCTTTTTCCCATCGTTAACCAAACCTCCTTAAATATAATAAAGGGTTCCCCTGAGTCGCCCCCCCCCCCTCGCTGAGACCTAATGTTTCCCCTCACGTCCTGATCAGAACCCTGCCTCACCCTGCCTCACCCCTCAGTCTCACCTTCATCACTTTCACAGTGAACCTCAGATTGAGCCACGGCATGTTTTTTTCTGTATCGTTTCCGATGTGACGTTCTTTCCGGTCTCTCTCTCTCTCAGCCCTGATTAAGAACAAATACTGCATCCCCCCCCCCTCTCTCTCTCGAGGACCTCACTCACCCCCCACTCCACCCTCACCCCTGCAGCAGTGGATGAATGGGGGAGACGTCTGCCTCTAATCCGTATCAGTATCGTTGAGCTCAGCACTTTGAACAGACTTAATTAAAACAGCTCTGAAGTGTGTGTGTGTGTGTGTGTGTGTTTCACTGGCACATGTGACAACACCATGTGTGTTAACACACGTGGCGTGCATCACGTTGTGCACGGTGGTCGTGACGTCGCGATCACCTGATTATCGCAAACTGACGGTTTCTTATCGTCAGACGAAGTTTGATGCTAACGTGTTTCCACGGCGATCTGCTGGTGATGTCACATGATGACCTCCTGACCTTATCAGCCGTTTGTTTGGAGGCGTGAGAAGTGAAAACTGTTAAAACAGTTAACAATAATTAAGTTTAGTCTTAGATTTAAAGTAGCAATTTTACGAAAAAACAGAAGTAAATTCATGAGAACCAGGTCATAATTTTATAATAAAATATAAATGTATGAAAAGAAATTCATTGCTTTACAAGAAAAAAGTTCTAGTAATGTGAACAAATTGATAATAATATTATATATTTGAGAAAATAAATTTGAACCAGACTGTAACTCAGCAGACGGTCACTGACAGACTGGTCTGATGTGTCAGAAGATGAAGTTTCTCCTCAGAACAAACGACGTTTTTTATCTTCATAGAAAAAACACAATTCTTGGACAGACGTTGGAAATTCATTAAAAAGTCACAGTTGTGTTAAACTTCTCGGCTTCATCTCCATAAATTTCCGCTCCGACAGCAGCGGCGTGATCGCTGACTCACTTTTGATCAAAAAAAAAAAAAAACCCCAGACCTCGGCCGACATAAAACACCGTCGTAGCTGGTTTCTAAAGTCTCAGAGTGAAAGAGTCAAAGCAGTGTATTTACTCTCCGCTCCGCAGCGGCACAGACCCTTCCTCTCAAACCGCGGCCCTGCTGAAATGTCAGCGAAGCTCTAGAATAAAGGGCTAAGAATTAACACCGGCCGCAGCTAAATGTCACTGCGTCGTCGACGCTCTAGTACAATTAAGACCACAGAAGGTCAATTTCCTCCGAAGCACGGAGCTCAGAGCGTCTCCTGTGAGAACAGCCATTAATACCACTTAATGCAGAGCATATCCTGTTTATTTAGAGCTGCGGCCGAAGACGCCGCACATCAGAGCTGTGTGTGTTTCTGCCTGCGTTAGTGGGAAAAAAAAAAGAAAAAGAAAACTATCAATCAAAGGAGTTCCTTTTGTTAATGACATTTAAACTTTCAAATACAAATACACACCCACATACTTCCTCACTAAAAATACTTTAGTTTTTTTGTAACGTTTCTTTGACGTAACTACAAATATTTTTTACCCCTGACGTACTTTGTTGTGTCGAGGAACAAAGTCTGACTCTGATCTGGACCGTGGTCTGTTTCCACATGGACTGATGTGACGTTACTGCAACCTGGAGTATCTCCAGATACTGGTACCAATCTGAGAGTACGTGTACTAATGTGATGCTATACTTCGCTTTATAATCCTGGGCCTGTTTAGTTGAACACAACACTGAATTACTGGCAGGGATTGAAGAAAGACACAAATGAAGATCTCCTTCAACAGCTCTGAGTATGTCTTTGTTTCTAATCGCCATCTGCTGCCACCTAGTGGAGGAGTTTTCAGACCTCATCTTATTTCCCAACTTCTATTTCCGTCGTCTATTTTCCATTTTATTCTGAAAACCTGTCGGTGTTTCCTACTGATAAAGACGTCCAAACATTGATTTCACTCCTTATACTCTCTAAAAATATATATGTATTTAACTTATGAACTTAGCAAAAAGAAGCTTAACTACTTCCTTTCTCACAGACCTGCAGTACTTCAGATACCAGCACAGAACTGCTACCTTCATATTTTAGGTCTGATCTGTTTCTGTTACATAAGACTGTAATAAAGTGTGGAGTTAAAACCTATTTAAAAAAATCACTTTGGGAATAAGAGCAAAAAAAAAAAGAAATCCAGGACTGACTTTTCCTCGCTGTGAGTCCTTGTTTTCAGAAGTCCAAGGTCAAACAGGACCAAACGTGGAGATGAAATATATACAGAAGCTGGAGATGAAATATAAAAAAAGAAAAAAACAAACACAGCAGCAGATAATTTGGTTACAGCTAAGCTCCGTCCCTGCCACCCAGACAGAACACCCCCCCCCACCCGCCCCCCTTCACCCCCGTTCCAAATTCTCCATCTGAGTGTGCAACTCCAAAGCCTCAACTTCCTGACTTAAAAAGTTCCTCTTAGAGGATTATACGGAACAAAAGTGTCTGGAGTGGAAGGTGAATTCCAAGGTACGTCGAGAGAGAGAGCGAAAGAAATCGGTGTCAAGTGAAAAAAAAAATAAACACAGTTCTGGACCAACAACTGAGGAGACATGAGGATGATGAAGACGATGATGAAGACGATGGACAGAAACAGCAGCGATGACAGAGAGGTCGATGTTAACCTTTTTTTTTTTTTTTAGTTTGTAATCTCCTCGATTTCTGAGCAGGAAAACCGGCAGCAGGTGTTTACCTGTGAATTCTGGGATTATTTCCTTATTTCGCTGCGATATCTGAGCAGCGGGATTTAACATAAGCTCATAAGAGCAGCACGGGTGTTAACCTGTGCCGCGCAACCGAGAGCGAAACCGAGAGTGAAA